GGGGGGGGTCTGTGTGTGTGCTGTGTGGGCGTCTCTCGCGATGCCGGATGTGCGTGGTCACATTGGGAGGGAAATTAAGAGCCGGTGGGGTGGCGCGCGGGACAAGAGAGCGACAGACATCGAGAGAGAGAGGGGGAGCGAAAGGCGGACAGAACAGCTTAGCTGCTCCTGTGAATGTGTAGACCCGTGTGGCTGGGCTGACGTGTTGATACTGACTATGGTTGGCCGACCGCACACTTGACCCATGGATGGATGGATGGATGGCCTGATTGACCGTTATGATGGTGCACATGACATGGCATGGCTGGGAGAGACACTGACACTGCAAACGGACAGACAGTCGATATTGATCTCACTCAACCTGTGCCGCAGCGTGAAACCATGTGAGTCCGTCAGTCAATCCAACCGCCCACCACCAACCATTCAATCAACCACAGAGATCCGGACAGCGAGCCCCATTGTAATAATAAGTGTATTCTGTGCGACCCCATGCTTTTTATCAGACAGGGCAAAAGCGGGTCGCACAGTGATCTGACAGACGAGTGGCTCATGATGCACCCGTGCCTGCGTGCCACTCGTCGAACAGCGCACCATCAGTTTTGGAGACTGATGTGGTGGTGGTGTTGCGGGGGGGCAGCGAAGGAATGGGTGCATCATGCGCAGCACTCAAAGAGTGAATGAATGAATGAGTGGGTCCAGACAGGGAATCGACTACGGTAAGCCGACCAATCGCAACCAACCAACCAATCAACCAACCAATCAACCCGCCACCCCTCCTTGCCAGGAGTCAGTACTGTCACTCTCACGCCCATTCCCTCACTTACACACACACACATGCAATCCGGGCACTCACCTGTCTGTGTATACGTCGCTATATATATCAATGACTGACAAAAAAGGACCGCCGCCGACCCACGGGACGGACCGACAGCCAGCAATTACCGCCCTCGCCCCCCTCCTCCACCATCCACATGGCCTTCATCACATCGCCGTGGCTCAGCTGATCGCCGAACTCCACCACACCGCCCACCCCCGCCACCTCGATGGCCTTCGGCAGCCGAAGGCGGCGACAATCGGCCGCACGACGTTGGTGATTGAGCGGGCTGTCGACTTGAAGTGGGCGATGGTGGTGAGGTCAGACAGTTCCATGGCTGCCGATGGTTGTGACGTCAGACGCTGCGATGACGATGCTCATGAGCTCAGGGGGGATGCTATCGAGGCTCAACTGTCGGACCTGGACACACACACACAAAGCAGCCATAGGACATGTCTGTGGTCTCTCTCTCAGCTGTGTGTGGGTATGTGTTGTCAGTGCGATGGCGGTGTCTATGGTGTGTGCCAGCTCGGCCAGCATGTCGGACACAGCCGCAAGCTGGCGGCTCACTTTGGCCACTATCTGCCGAATGAATGAAGCACAAAAGGCCAGACAAGAGGACAGACACAAGGAGGCCACTGTGCTGTGACTGTGACTATGTGCTGCTTGGCATCCTGCACGCACCTGTGTTGTCAGCTGAGTATTGTCCATCTGCAAGAGTCTCCTGTGATGCCTCTGTTGGCCTGCACAAACAAATGGACCACAACACCCACCCAGCACAAGACGCAAGCATTGAATGGATGAGTGTGATGTGATGTGTTGGGTGGCCACCTGATCCTGATTCATCTGAAGGCAAGCGATGACCAAAGGCGTGAACTCAGGCTGCGGCAAGAGCTGCTCCCGCAGACGCATTGCAACCATCTGCACCAGACAGCAGGGCAACACAAGCACACGGACAGCACAGCAGGCATGATGCATGCGACGATTCACGTGCGTTGCTTGACGCTTTGCTTGGCCTGCAGGCCTCTCTCCTCTCACCCGGTTCGTACTGACGTCGACGGCCATTCTAAAGATTATGAATAACACTGCTGTCTGGATGCGACTGAATACGCCTCCCTCCGCGCCCTTCCTTTGCTTTCCTCCCTCTCTTTCGTGCGAGCTTGAAGAATGCCGAACACAAGGAGAGAGATCGGCGGGATCATTGAAGTAGTGGACGTATAGCGGCATCGCATCACATACGCCAGATCTGATCTCCCTTTTGAAGTACCTGTCTGTCATACCTCGCCACGGGCGGCTTCCACTCATCGGCGCTGCATATATACCCGACGGATACCATCGCATCTCTGCCGACATGGACGACGTTGACGACCTCTTCGCCGCCTTCGACCAGAAGGACGAGCCAGCAGCCCGCGACAAGCCTCCACCCAGGCAGCTGAAGCGAGCAGCCGAGAAGCCTTCGGAAGGCCGTCCGGATCAAGGCGACCAACAGGAGCAAGCACCAAAGCGGCCACGCGTGCAGCCACAGGCCAGCGATGGTCCACAGGCTGCTGCTGCCGCTGCACCGACGGCCAACGGCGGAGCAGCTGCGGCCGCTGAAGACGGTGGCATGGCGGGTGGTGGTGGTGGTGGTGGCAGCGATGATGCGGGTGGTGGTGCGGGTGCCAAGGTGGTGATAGAGAAGTACAGCGAGAAGCCCAACTGCATGCACTACTGCGTGCGGCCGTCGACCTACGAGCGCAAGCCCATGCCCACCGTCAGCACGCCGGCCCACACGTACCCGTTCATCCTCGACCCCTTCCAGGCCACATCCAACCAGTGCCTCGAGGCCAGGGAGTCGGTCCTCGTATCCGCACACACGTCGGCAGGTCAGCATGGCATGGCATGGAGGGAGGGAGGGAAGGATTCATTCATCCACACATCAAATCCATCGTATGTGCGTCCATGTCTGTCTGTCTGTCTGGTGTGTGCGTGTGCGTGTGCGTGTGTGTGTCAGGCAAGACGTGTGTGGCTGAGTACGCCATCGCGATGGGTCTGCGCGACAACCAGCGGGTCATCTACACGAGTCCGATCAAGGCGTTGAGCAACCAGAAGTACCGCGACCTGAGCGAGAAGTTCAAGGACGTCGGCCTGCTCACCGGCGACGTCTCACTCAACGCTCACGCCTCTGTCGTTGTCATGACCACCGAGATCCTCAGGAGCATGCTCTACAGGTAGGTCGACCCGCCCATCACATTTGCAATAAATCAACAAATTGTGTGTGTGTGTGTGTGTGTGTGCGCGTGTGCAGGGGCTCCGAGTTGATGCGTGAGATGGCGTGGGTGATATTTGACGAGATTCACTACATGCGTGACCGCGAGAGGGGCGTGGTGTGGGAGGAGACCCTCATCCTCCTCCCCGACACCGTCAAGCTGGTCTTCCTCTCCGCCACCATACCCAACTCCCTAGAATTCGCTGAGTGGATCGCAAACATTAAACACCAGGCAAGCAGGCAAGCCTGGCGGGACAGTTTACGTCTCATCCATCTCTACCTCTGTGTGTGTGTGTGTGTGTGACCTCCCAGCCGTGTCACGTGGTATACACTGACTACCGTCCGGTGCCGCTGCAGCACTACATGTTCCCCGCCGGAGGGGACGGCATCTACCTCGTCATGGACGAAAAGGGAGAGGTCAGTGGCC